TCACAGTGGACATGCATTTAGATCATGTCTCTCACAGTGGACATGCACCTAAGATGAAAATTTCAGATCCCTCCATGATTTCTAAGTGGGAGAACTTGCAAAGTCGCAGGGTGTTCAAATACTTATTTTCCTCACTGTAGCTCAACATCTGTTAAACTGACAGAGTTATAACCACTTTGGTGTTTCCTAAGATCAGTTGGCTGTGGCAGCCATCTTGAATCAAGTTGACTAAAAGTACATCCAAGCATTACATTTTGAGAATTTCATTAAAATCCATCCAGTGGTTCATGGAATATTTTGCTAACAGACACACAGTAGGCAAAACCGTTAGACCTCCCCTGAAATTAATGCTTGCGGAAATGTAGATTTTTATATATCTGTGATGTTTATGGAAGCAAAGCTATTATGCATAACTTCTATTTAAAGAAAATCATTAACAATAAGCACAAACAATCTTATTAGGACCCAGATATTTGCCGATGACGCCTTCGTGTGCACAAACGGCGACTCTTCACAATCAAACTAAAGCAGAGCGTCATATTTTCATTTCTTCTCGGCGTGTTTCAAGTTCAGCTTCACGATGGTTGCGACGAAGCCGTCTCTCGTCACCACGTCGGAGGCGACGATGTTCATGGGAGTTTTTTGGTGCTGCTGGTTGACCCACGGCAGCAGCTTCCACAGACCCCTTCGGATGACTTTAGGGAAGCTGTCGCACAGCCGGAGGACGTACTTCAGGATCCTGACATCATGAGGTAGGGTCGGATTCAAGCCACACACGAAGAAATCTGCAGATAACAACAACATTAACTAGATAGTTCCTGGAGACACTTTGACGAGGACCGCCACGTTGCGGCCATTTAAAATTTTCGATTTGACGGTACTAAGTGTTGGTTTGCTCTCAGCTACCTGCACACCAAAACTTCAGCTTAATACCTCTAAAAATGGCTGATTATAAGTGCTTTTCCTTTTAAGCTCAAGCTGCCATTTTGGATTTTTGGTTTGCACTCAGAGTTTATTAGGGATCGTTCTCAGCTACCAGTAGAGCAAATTACAGCTAAATAGCTCTAAAAACATCAGAGTTATATCCATTTGAAATTAGCTTCGGCAGCCATCTTGAATTTTTAGATCTGAATTCAGAATGTGTTGTGCATCGCTGTCCGCTACCACCACACCAAACTTTAACTCAGTAGCTTTTAAAATAGCTGATTTATCTTTTTTTTTTTTTTTTTTTTTTTTTTAACTAAGACAGCCATTTTGGATTATTCATTTGCATTAGAAATGTATAACAACTCGCTCTTGGCTACGACCGTACTAAAGTTCAGCTCAGTATCTCAAACAATGACCGAGTTATAGTCACATTTTGTGTTTGCTGAGGCAGCTGTGGCAGCCATCTTGAACCAAAATGGCTCCATAAGTTAATCAGTGTTTTGTTCAGGGACCTCTTCACTCTAGAGCTATGTTTACATGGACATAAGTAATCGGATTAAACGGCCATTTGGAATGAAAATGCATCATGTAAACGCCCCATTTGGATTATTCTTGGTTGATTCAGCTCGATCCAAAGGAATTTATAATCTGAATGAGAGGGGTGGTTTATGCCAATTCATAATCCGAATGGTGTGCATGTAAACACTTAATCTCTTCTTTTTTTTCCTATTGTGGAAAACTGACCTGACTGCACATATGCAACCTATGTCAACCTCTTGTATTTCCACCTGGCTAGATGCTAATATGTCAGGCCGTAAAACTGTTTGGTGAGCGACATCATTTCTACTAGAAACTTTGAAAGAGCTCAAAATGATCTGCATCGCCTGTCAGGGAGTGCAGTAACGTCTCCACCGTCATTAAAACCTGGTGCGAGTCCATTTTGGGTGCTCAGGTTTGTTTACGTTCAACCCGGAAGTAAACCGGAAGTAGAACTTCTTCTTCTGTGTTGTTTTAAGAGAGTTTACCACTCTGCACATGTCAGTGCTATTATTCAGAATAAAAGCCCGCTGCATGTAAACGCTCGTCATGAACAGATTGTGCCCATGTAAACAATACATTTGGATTATTTAATCTGAAAACATTTCAATCTGATCAAAGAATTTTGCGCATGTAAACGTAGCTTAGGTCACGTGACCTCCAATGACTGTGAAGACGCTACTGCACTCCCTGATTGAGCTACAGGTGATACAGATCATTTTGAGCTCTTTCAAAGTTTCTAGTAGAAATGTTGTCGCTCACCGACCAGTTTTGCTTCCCCGGCATATTAGCACGTAGCCAGGTGGAAATACGTGAGGTTGACAGGTCGCACATGCGCAGTCAGGTCAGATTTCCACGATCAGAATAAAATGATCAGATTAAGTGTTTACATGCACACCATTTGGATTATGAATTGGCATAAACCACCCCTCTCATTAGCTATGTTTACATGTGCACAATTTTTGACCGGATTGAAATGTTTTCAGATTAAATAATTCAAATGTATCGTTTTCATGGGCACAATCCGTTCATGACGAGCGTTTACATGCAGAGGGCTTTGTTCTGAACAGAAGTACTGACATGTGCAGAGTGGTAAACTCTCCTTAAAAAACATAGAAGAAGAAGTTCTACTTCCGGTTTACTTCTGGGATGAAGGTAAACAAAGCTGAACGTCCAAAATGGACCCGCGACAGGTTCTAATGACGGTGGAGACGTTACTGCACTCCCTGACTGAGCTACAGGTGATACAGATTATTTTGAGCTCTTTCAAAGTTTCTAGAAGAAATGTTGTGTCGCTCACCGACCAGTTTTACTTCCCCAACATGCTAATATTATTCGCATTAGCCAGACAGAAATTACATAGGTCGCACATGTGCAGTCATGTCAGTTTTTCACATTAGGAAAAAATTAAACAGTTTACATGTGCACCATTCGGTTTATGAATTGACGTAAACCACCCATTTTGTTCTGATTACAAATTCTTCCAGATTGTGCTGAATAAACAAAAAATAATTTGAATGGGATGTTTACATGACACATTTTTATTACGAATGGCCGTTTAAGCTGATTACTTATGCCCATGTAAACATATACTACACTGCCAAAAGTATTTGCTCACCTATCCAAATGATCAGAATCAGGTGTTCCAATCACTTCCATGGCCACAGGTGTATAAAATGAAGCACCTAGGCATGCAGACTGTTTTTACAAACATTTGTGAAAGAATGGGTCGCTCTCGGGAGCTCAGTGAATTCCAGCGTGGAACTGATAGGACGCCACCTGTGCAACAAATCCTTGCTCCTAAATATTCCTCAGTCAACTGTCAGCTGTATTATAAGAAACTGGAAGTGTTTGGGAACAACAGCAACTCAGCCACGAAGTGGTAGGCCACGTAAACTGACGGAGTGGGGTCAGCGGATGCTGAAGTGCATAGTGCGAAGAGGTCACCCACTTTCTGCAGAGTCAATCACTATAGACCTCCAAACTTCATGTGGCCTTCAGATTAGCTCAGGAACAGTGCACAGAGAGCTTCATGGAATGGGTCCATGGTCGAGCAGCTGCATCCGAGCCATGCATCACCAAGTGCAATGCAAAGTGTCAGATGCAGTGCTGTAAAGCACGCCGCCACTGGACTCTAGAGCAGTGGAGGCGCGTTCTCTGGAGTGACGAATCAGGTTTCTCCATCTGGCAATCTGACGGACGAGTCTGGGTTTGGCGGTTGCCAGGAGAACAGTACTAATCTGACTGCACTGTGCCAAGTGTAAAGTTTGGTGGAGGGGGATTAAGGTGTGGGGTTGTTCTTCAGGAGCTGGGCTTGGCCCCTTAGTTCCAGTGAAAGGAACTCTGACTGCTTCAGCATACCAAGACATTTTGGACAATTCCATGTCCCCAACTTTGTGGGAACAGTTTGGAGCTGGCCCCTTCCTCTTCCAACATGACTGTGCACCAGTGCACAAAGCAGTTCCATAAAGACATGGATGGAAGAGTCTGGTGTGGATGAAATTGACTGGCCTGCACAGAGTCCTGACCTCAGTTCGATAGAACACCTTTGGGATGAATTAGAGCGAAGACTGAGAGCCAGGCCTTCTCGTCCAACATCAGTATGTGACCTCACAAATGCTCTTCTGGAAGAATGGTCAAAAATTCCCATAAACACACTCCTAAACTTGTGGACAGCCTTCCCAGAAGAGTTGAAGCTGTTCTAGCTGCAAAGGGTGGACCAACGTCATATTGAACCCTATGGATTAGAAATGGGATGTCACTTAAGCTCATATGTGAGTCAAGGCAGGTGAGCAAATACTTTTGGCAATGTAGTATAGCTAGTTAGTGCTGTGAAGAGTTCTGTCAGTGTTTTTCAATGAGAAAAATGGCGTCTTTGTTTGTAAATTACATCACCGTGGTAACTCAAAACGCCAATAAACGTAATAGCACACATGACAGTGCTGAGCCGGTCATTTTGATATAACATTTGGGGGACATGTTGCAGTTTGGGCCGCATTAAAGTTGATAAGATGCTTTTCAGGTGGATAATAATGGGCAAAGGCAGTCCCCAACAATAAAATGCCATCATTTCAAAGCACACATAACTTTGCTCCATTTTACCATTTTCTTGGCTGACAGTAAATGCAACACTGTGAGATTTTGTAAGAAGAGATAGCACTCGGAGAATGTGTTGATGGTGACTCTCAGCTACAACCACACCAAGTTCTACCTCCAGAAGGTAAGAAGAAGCTTCATGGACTGAGAATGCTTACAGTCGGAGGGTCTTTTCTTCTCCAAAGCATCTTGGAGTTTGGATTTTATTTTTGCACGGTCCATAGTGTTGCCATAGAAATATGTTATACTCTGCCACAGGGCATGCCGTTGATGTTCTGAATGATCGTATGAAACAATTACGTTTTTGCCTTTTTCCCAGCAGCTCTTCAGGGTGGGGTTGGTCTGTAAGGACGCACAGGAAGAATCTCTTTTGAACGTTATTTAATGTTGAAAAAATCCATGTAACTTTCATCAGGTTATATTATTAATAAAAACATTTTAAAAGACCTTACCATTGAGAGCAAAAGTCTTGTTCCAAACAAGTCCTTGATAAATTGGATGAGGTGGTTGTGGAGATTTGCTTCATTTGTTTTGTCAAAGCCGTAGAAGTGGGATAAAGATAAGATGATGACTTCTTTCGGGTGCTTCTCTGCCCACACATTTATTCTCTTCAGACCAGTCTGATCACAAAAGTAATAAAAATATAATATAATTAAATACAACTACAGAAGCTTCTATGCGTTATTGATTTTTAATTCAAATCAATTCAGTTTATTTCTGTAGATCCAAGTCCCAACAGAAGTCATCTCAGGAAACTGTACAAAAACATTCACATACTTTATAGAAGTAAATTAGTAAAAGGTCTTTATCTAAGGAGGAAGTAGATTGTGTTGACTCTTCCCTTCATCACAGTCTCCCATCCTGAGCAAGCACAAAGGAGACAGTGGAAAGGAAAAACTCCCTTTTAACAGGAAGAAACCTCCATCAGGACCAGGCTCAGGACAAGTGGCATCTGCTTCAGTTGGTTGGGTTTGAGAGGAGAAGTAGAAACCGAGAAACACAGAATGACAGGTCCAGATGTATTTTCTATAGGAGGAAAGATAAAAACATGTTAGGATAGTAATAATTACAAATACAAACAGGTAGAGTAGAGTAAGTAAAGACAGCAGCAGAGAGAGGAAATGTGGTCAGTTTGTCTAAGCCTATAACAGCATAACTAAGGGATAGCTCAGGAAACCAAGCCACCCCTAACTATAGGATTTATCAAAAAGGAAAGACTTAAAACTGGACAATGTGTCAGCCTCACAGACAGAAACTGGAAGTTGGTTCCACAAGAGAGGAGCCTGAAAACTGAAAGCTCTGCCTCTCATTCTGCTTTTGGTGACTCTAGGAACCACAAGTAAACCTGCAGACTGAGAGCGAAATGTTCTGTTAGGAAAGTATGGAATGATAATATCTGTAATATAAGCTGGAGCTAGGTTGTTGAGAGCTTTGTGTGTTATTTTACTAATTTGAAAATTAAAGACCAAGTTTTGTTTGATGTTGCCCACCACGATTTATGCCAGACTCTTAAACTGAAGTTGAGAAATGACGGAGCTAAAGTTTCTTCAGTTCAACTTTAAATTTTACACTAAATCGTGAAAATATGATTGGAGTGACTCAGCTACTACGTCAAACTCGAGCTCATTTTGTGTAAAACTGACTGAGGTACAGCCATTTATGTGCTACCTGATGTTGATTGGCTACGGCAGCCATCTTGAATTGGGTTGACTCCTAATGTTAAAGAGTTCTAGATGTAGATCCAGTTATCTTCTGAAGGGTTCAATAACATCTATCCAGGGGCTCAGAAGATACTTTGATAACAGACAAACAGAAGAAGTTCCAACTGGCAATGCCAACATTTATATACGCAAGCCTTGTGTAATGTGTAGTGCTTCAAATATTTGTCAGTTATAGGCATTTTTGTGTTGGCTGGGGTCCATTATCCACATAGAATGCCTCTAAATGGGTTAATATTTATTGATTAGTTTCCTGTCTGAGTTTGCTGCTGTGGGTTCAGGTATCCTCACCTCCACATCGGTCCGAGTGTACAGTCCATGGTGGAAGTAAAGTCTGGTGGGGTTAGTGTCGTCGGGTTTGCGAGCAATCCTCAGATCGAAGTAGCGAACCCCTGCGTTCAGTTGTTCTGTGATGGTCACCTCCTGTGATTAAAGCCAACACAAGTTCAGTCCCCCTCCCCTCTTTCACCATTTAAACACTTAAAGTGACTGCACCGTCCCCCCTCCACCCACCCCCCACCTGAGTGGCTGCCCACCGGCGGAGTATTCTACGCAAACAACAGATCTTGCTGTATCTTGTGAGCCTTGCTGGCTCTATGATTTTGGAGTTGATGTCTAGGTCGTAGCTCATTGCATCATGGCTTCCTAGGAAGAACAGAAACACACAGGTGATAATTAATGCAGAGAAAAACACATCTTTCAAACTAAAGTTGGGCCAAGACCACAACGCCTTGCACAAAAAGATTAAGTTTTTTTTGTTCAAGACTGAAGAATCTGAAGGAACTGCACATGACGAATTTAGAAAATGTGACGTTGTCTAATTTAGTGGAGCGGTGGTGCAGAGACAAGGTGGGCCTGTGATCGGAAGGTTGCCGGTTCAACTCCCCCAACTGAAATCAAAATGTGGGTGAGGAAGATGAAACATCCACACCTGCCTCCACCCTCATTTGGCCCTCAACCCCCACCATCTGCTCCCTCCAGGCGCCCTAGACAGCAGCTCTCTGCTCCACTCGGTGTCTGTGGTTGTCAGGAAGGTAAAAACAACATAAAACGTAAAAACCCCCAAGTCTTTGTGCGAGTTAGTTCAACGTGGCGACCCCTGAAGAGGGGAGCAGCCGAAAAAAAGAACGCGTCTGATCTCAAATGTATTTTTAAACATTTTATGTGATCATCTCTCCGGATGTTCAGACCTTTTGGTTCCGCAGCCTCAGTGGTTCATGAAGCAGTCAGGAGTGACAGCAATGTGCCATTTTTTAAAACTTCTTTGAGACGAGCAGTTTTTTCCAAGATTTTTAATTTAATTTTGACTGGCATCAGCTTTAAATCATCAAAGCATATTTTTAAGAGAGACTAATTTTGCAGGTCATAACCATCTCCTTTCTTTCTTTCTGTTATGTGATGTTGTTTGTTTCATAGTTTAGCTTATGGTCAGTGTTGAATTCTTCTTTTTATGGCCATTATTTAACAAAAGCTTCATCCTGAGATGAGCATGAAAAGTTAGACTAGTCTATGTTACAGTCATGAGAACAAGAAAGTCCACCGTTTTGTACTTTATGATTAAATTATGTATTTGAATAAAGTATTTTATAATTTGGTCTTTACCAAGGGTTTAACCTCAGGTTTGCAGAAACTGATCATCCTCAGTGTGATCATATCTAAAAACAAGAGTTATGTCAGCTTGCTGCTCTGAAGCATACAGGTATGTTTTAACCCAATGCCAAGATGGAAAGGTATCAGTAATGACCTTGGAAAAGCCACTGTTTCTGCCTATCAATCTGGGAAGGGTTAAAGGTCGTTAACTTAACTTGGAGTCCATTATCTACTAAAATAATGGTTACTATTTCCATGAGTGAGTGTTCCAGCAAATTCACCCCAAAGTCAGACTGTGCAATGACCCCAGAAATGTTTAAGCCTTTTAAGAGCCCAGACCCTGTAAACTTCAGCGAGCGTGTCAAAAGTTAAAGTTCATAACTGGACATTTAGAAAAATGATAAACGTGTGGCTTTTGGAAAGGTTGCCCGAAGAAAGTTAATAATTATAATTAGCACCATTTATGGATTAAATGTGTCTTGAATTATTAATTAAATGATTATTGAATGGTTAAATGTGTCATTATTCACTATTTCCTAATAGTTATTGAGCATTTGTGATTATTTAATGACAAAACAAGAAGTTAAAATTTGTGTCTGGTAAAGATTTCACTGAAATTTAAACAAAATATTAGGCATGACTTTCTACTATAAATAAAATGAGATGGAAATATATATTGTACTACCTTTTTGGTTTTTGAGTAAATTAAAATACATACAGTATATCCTGATGCAGCTCAATAATCCAGGTAGATAAATTTAACAAGTTCAGTCAGGTCCTCTGGACAGATTCTTCATTTGTTATTTGTACTGATTTGGTAAAGAAGAATCCATCCAGAGGACCTGACTCTTGTTAGAGAAAAGAAATATATTTTCACAATTCTGAAAACAAAATTATTATTTTTTTCTACACTGTAAAAGAAAGATATGTTGTGGATAAATACAAACCCCCACCTGAGAGACAGACTGCAGTGGTTATCCTGTTGATGGTTTCTTACCTGGTATGGCCAGTTGATAGAGAGGAATGGTATGAAGTTCAACCGGCAGCTGAGACATCCAGTCATAGCTGCTCATAGCTTTTATCTTTCCTTTTCTTTTTGTCTGCTGACATTTTAAAACTCTTATAAACACAAGGATATGAAGCCTCAATAAAGTGATCTAAATGAAAAAAGTTCTATAAATTAAGGTCAACAGTTTAGAGGAAACTCACCGACCCTGCCAAGGTGCTCCAACCCTCTGCCTGAATTATTTCAATTTAAATATGCAGTGCAGTACTGGACCACAACACAAAGTGATTTCCTGATTTTTGTGGGAGGAGAAACGGCACGATACGCTGAGGCCAACAACCTGCTTGTTATTCAGGTTTGTTTTGTCTGACTCCAATGAAACTTCCTCGTACCAAGTGACCAACATGCAGGAAACAACTCTCACCTTTCAGACAATGGAAATCATCTCCACATAGAGTAATCACTATTATTTTTATTTTATGAAAACCTTGAAGTACAATGACATCTTACAAGACAAAGAAGTTCATTGATTCCTAATTATGTACAGTAAAAGAGGGGTACATTTTGAGTTAACTGCAGGAAGAGGTGCAATTGGATAATTATTTCATATCCCAGTTTCTAAACTTGGGTTAGACAATGTAAACCCTGCTCCTGTAGATTAACAGAATGTGTTTCATAAAGGGAATCACCTCAACGTGACTGACAACAGAAACTTTAATAACAAGTGGCGTTGACAGGCCTGTTGAGGCATGTTCATGGCTCCGCCCCCTCAGTTAGTGAACAGAACAAAATAAAAGAACCAAATAAACACAGGATAAATCAGGTTTGTAAAGTTCCCCAAAACATGCATTGAGTTAGAATTACACATTAATATGCATACCCTACGTCATTTACTAAATCTAATTAAAAGATGCGAGGGTTTGTCACATGGGTGCCATGACACATGTTGATTCTTATACCATCAATGTTTTATGGCACAAACAAAATACATTCACAAACAGTATATTACTTTGGTGGAAAACTTCTCGACTAATTTGTCACTTCATTGTTCACCTGTAGGTTCCTACATCTACAGTACTACTATAAAGCACAGAAATATGTCCATTTTATTAAAAGATACCAGTGGCTGTATGCAGCCTAAGTAACTTTTTATCAATAGAAGCATTAAAACACAGATTTGAATTTCCATCCTTATCAGGTTATTGTAATAACTTCTGTTCACTTCTGTACCCTGACCTAGACTCCAAGCCTAATCAAACCATTACATGCCTAATCCTAAAGCATTGGACCACATAAGAACAAGAAAAGGTTCTAAAAGATAACAAAATCCAAGTACACATAGTTTATGTCTGTATCTTTTTTTGAGAACCCCAGAAGACGAAGTATATATTCAATAAATAAACTAATCCACATGTGTTAATCAGACCTGTAACTGTCACTCCACCAGGTAGAAAACTTAATCACTACAATGGAAAAATGTTGCATCATGAAATTTACAGCTTTGCCGAAAAAAAAAATCTACAGTCCAGTTGTTTGCCAAATTGTAGCCAATAATGAAAACCAGTAAAAGCAGTGACTCTAATTCAAAACAAATTCCTTTATTGGTTGAGATATTGAGTTTCTTCTAGCGTGAAAACAGGATCTTCTTCAGTTTCTAGTTCCTCAAAGATCCAAGCCTTTCTCTTCAGTGGAAGCCCTTTCCAGATATACCCTTGTTCCTGGGCTTCACCTCCGGGTCTGACATTTGTGAATGCTAAATTTTCTCTACCGTTTGGTGGCACTCCTAAGGACTGGGAGGCCCTCTGAGCAGCATCAGCTGAATGAGAGCTCCCAGAATGCCATGCTCTCCTTCTGGGAAACTGGATGGTGGAATCTGATACAGTACAGTAACTTGCTGCAGGTATGGGTATAGTAACACCTAAAGAACTTGTGCAGCTGGACTGCTCAGGCCGAAATGGTACAGATTCACATTCAGAGTAGGAATTACGTGCACGGGGAAAACTGCACAATGAAGCAGCAGTGGAAGAAGTGGGATAGAAGGACGGACATGAAAGTCGTGCTTTTGGATAAAAAAGACCAATCTTTCTGCATCTAACTTCTCCCGTTGCTCTTTCTTCTCCTGCTTCTTTTGGCTTTTCAAATGCTCCAAGTTTTGTTTCTTTTTTCTCGCTGTCACTTGTTTTATTTTTTCTCCTGTCTTGAGCTTCCTCTAGCTGAATTTCCAGATTATAAATTTCTTCCGTTAACTGGTTGACTCGATCAAAACGAGATAGCAGGGTAGTGACAATAGGTTCCAGGCTGTCCAGGAAGGGCTGAGCTTCTATCTTTGACTTGGAAAGTGGCAATTCCTCAGACCTTATGGAGAGGACCGAGGACAGCAGATGGGGGGATGAAACTGAGGGTGATGAAGATGGAGAGCGAGAGGATAGAAGGATAGAGGAAACACTAGAGAAACAAGACTCCTGTGAAGATCTAGAAGAAGGGACGTCCATGCCTTCAAACTTCACCCTGTGCCTGAACTAAACAGAGAAAAGAATTAGCAGGGTTAGCAACTCCCTGTCATGACTCTTGTTCAGAAAACGACTACACGGTTCTACCTGTTTGGCCTTAGTGAGTCCCATCCACAGCTTGAGTCTCTTGATGAAAAACTCCACCATTTCATAGTCCTGGGGGTCCATGGTCAGACGAAACAGCTCAGCCTGCTTTACCCTTTAGGACACAATAAGTTACAAACTCTCATGGCACTCTGAAAAATAAAACATGTCTAGTATTTAAACATTTAGCACAAGTTTTTCTTTAGAAGACAAACAATTTCCTGTGGGATCAATAAAGTTCTATCTTATTGTATCTTATACATAAATTGGTACAAGAGCTTTAACCCCATAAGGATGATGCTAACAGTCAATAATGAGTGTTAGCCCCCACCTTTCATGGGCAGCGGGTAATTTTGCCTTTGCCTATTTCTGTCAGAAACGTATTTTGAAGCAGTGTATGAATTGTAATGAAATATGTGTATACAACTGATTAACCTTTTTAGTCAATCCCATTCAAGATGAATGCCAAAGATAATCTTAGCAAATACTGAAATAGTTAAAACTTTGCCAAATATCTAAGCAGGGATGCCCAATATGTCGCTCGTGGTCAACCAGTCGATCCTGATCAACCGGTTGATCGATCACAAAAATAATATGAGTAGATCGCAAGGCATTCAAAAAATAGATGTCAGCCTATAATCCATTCTCACTATGAATTTGATTGACATACAGGGCAGCCAATCAGAGACCTGACATTTTCTGACATATGGGTCACCACGCATGTGTATACAACAGCGCAAAAAAACTAGCAAGCTCCCAAGTTGCCTAGTTAGCCTCCAGTTTAGCATTTCTAACTGATCTGACCAACATGTTGAATGACTTCAATGTAGAGCTGCAAGGAAACAACAAAACTGTGACTGATATGAAAGAGACCATCTTATCACAAGCAGAACTGGTTTGTTCCACTTTGGAGTAAGCTGTTGGGGGAATAATTAGTTTTGTTGTGTGTTTCCTTGACTGATGAAGCCTTCCGGATCGAAGGCGAAATGTTCCAGCACAAAAAAAGAAACTGTCCAGACGACCTGACTGAAAAATGTTGTATTTTATACCTGGATTATTGAGCATGAACTTTGTTGTGATTGATATGATCAGCTCAGTGCAACACGAAGCTGCGGTGCCGTGATTTGGCAAACGTCAAGAACTTCATGTCAGAGCTGGAGACACAAGGGAAGTCGTGTGTGCAACGTGACGGTGCACGTTACACAGAGCAGAATGAGAACTGTCTGTCAGAGTTTGACAAACACTTTCAAGACTTCCAACAATGTTCAGTCAGGTCACCTGGATGATTTCTGCTCTTTTTTTTTTTTTTTTGCTGAAACATTTCGTCCTTCATCCGAAAGACTTCTTCACTCGGAGAAGTCACAAACAAACTGGAGTTCCACAAATACCACACTCTCATAGTGGGGGAAAAATCAGTTTGCTGGTGATAAGATGATCATGAACTGTTGGTACTTTCAAGACATGTTTTACTGAAGCCAATCACTACATTCATGTGCTACTCTTTTCGGGAAGATGCTGAGGTTGCTTCACCGGCATCAAAGACTGAAACACTGTTTCAAGTAAACTTTTCTGGAGTGGAGGATGAGATTTTCACACTACAAGCTGACATTCAGCTCAAGGCCAGGGCTCATGGACAGTTCTGAAATTTACTCACAGAGGAAAAGTACCCCAACATGAGGAACTATGTTGCCTCCTGACTGCATTATTTGGCTCCTCTTATTTATGTGAGTCAGTCTTTTCCCACATGAAGATCATTAAGTCCAAATAGCATTTCACCATAACTGATGATCATTTGGAAGTGTGCTTGAGGCTGACTATCAGCAGCTACTGTCCAGACTATGCATCCCTGGCTGAGTCCCTTCAGTACAAGTTATCAGTGTCAGGTCATGACAAAAAATGTACAGAATTGTAATGCACAATGTAGCTTCATGCAGTTTTACAAGGTACGTCAACATATATTGTACAAATAAAGAATACTTAATATATCCTGATGCATGCTCAATAATCCAGGTAGAAAAATTTAAAAAAAGTTAAGTCTGGTCCTCTGGATGGGTTTAAAAAACAAAAAATTGTGGATATGTTTTGTCTTTCATCCAAAAGACTTCTTCAGTCTGAGGAGCTGTGTTCAGCTCAGTCTTATACATAGCACCCTCTCATCTCAGTCTCATCTCTGGTTGATCCACTATGAGAGGGTGCTATGTATAAGACTGAGTTGAATAATGACCAAACGGTCAAAGCAGATGACCGCTTGTCCTGAGCCTGGTTCTACTGGAGGTTTGATCTGTTGCCATTGTGCTCACTCAGGATGGGAGACTGCAACGAATGTTCAGTGTGTCTGCCGGTTTCCTTAGATAGAGAACTTTACTAATTGTTTTTTCTATGTATGTGAATGTTCCTGTAAAGTGCCCTGAGACAACTTTGTTGTGATTTGGTGCTATATAAATAAACTGAATTGAATTAAATTGAATACAGCTCCTCAGACTGAAGAAACCTTTTGGATGAAAGATGAAATGGTTCTACAATTTTTTGAACCTGTTCAGAAGACCAAACTTTACTTTTTTAGAATACTTATTATGTTTATAAATTAGTATATGTTTTGTATTTTTATAGTAGGTAGATCACTTTGACTTGGTCATTTTAAAAGTAGCTTATATCCACTGCTCACAAAATTAAAGGGAACACTAACATACCACATCCTAGACCTCATTTAATTAAATATTCTCATTGACAAAACTTTATTATTAGCACAGTGGAATTGATTGAGAAGAAAATAACACAAAAATTATCAATGTAAATCAAAATGTTTACACCATGGAGATCTGGATTTGGATTCATACTCAATATGAAAGTGGAAAATAACATGACAGGCTGATTCAGTGTCAGTGAATATTCCTGAAGACAAGTCTAAATGAGGCTCAGTAGTGTGTGTGTGGCCTCCACATGCCTGTATAGCCTCCCAACAATGCCTGGGCATGCTCCTGATGAGACGGCGGATGTTCTACTGAGGGATCTCTTCCCAGACCTGGATTAAAGCATCAGTTAGCTCCTGAACAGTCTGTGGTGCAATGTGGCCTTGGTGGATTGACCGAAACATGATGTCACAGAAGTGCTCAATTGGATTCAGGTCTGGGGAACGGGCAGGCCAGTCCATAACTAGGGGTTGAACGAGTATATAATTTTTAAACTCGACATTAACATAATAAAACCCGAGTAGAACTCGAGTATTTGATGACGTCATAGATCTCAAGATACAAAAATAAATAAATAAATAAAAACCCCAAAAAAGTTAATTATTTACAAAAAAAAGACCAACAAAGCATTGGGAGCGTATATTATACTCCTGCCATTTATCATACAGCAAATAAGTCACAGGAAAAACTAAACTATTAGTTATCCTGATGCATGCTCAATAATCCAGGTAGAAAAATCTAAAAAAGTTAAATCTGGTCCTCTGGACATTCAAAAAAAAAAAAAAAACAAAGCAAATCAACAAAAAAATGTAGAAACGTTTCGTCTCTCATCCGAGAGACTTCCTCAGTCTGAGGAGCTGTATTCAGCTCAGTCTCTTAAATAGCACCGTCTCAGGGTGGATCAACCAGTTTTGCTGCTGACAACCAAAACCAGCTGATCACATGCTCAAGAAGGACCATCAGCCTAACAATGGATCATTAGCACACTGATGGCTGTTTACTATTCACAGAGGGTTGAGTGATACTAGCAATCACAGCATTGTAAGAGGGGGACAGTTGAACCCGGAGGCCTCCACCCCTGTTTAATGATGGACGATTTCTTTTCACAAAGATGGCCTCCTTTACTCCTCTCTCAAACCATCGTTCCTCTCTGTCCAGGATGTGAACATCTTCATCCCTGAAAGAGTGACCTCTGACCTGGAGATGAGTGTAGACCGCAGAGTCCTGGCCTGATGATGTTGATCTTCTGTGCTGGGCCATCCTTTTGGCCAGTGGCTGTTTAGTTTCCCCGATGTAAGACTGATCACAGCCCTCCTGACACTGAACAGCATACACAACATTGCTCTGTTTGTGCCGGGGGACTGGATCTTTGGGATGAACCAGTCTTTGCCGTAATGTATTTTGGGGTTTAAAAGCCACTGGGACGTTATGTTTAGAAAATAAACGTCTCAGTTTCTCTGATACTCCCTCAACATATGGAATGACCACTGGTCTGGGTCTGGGTTCCTCCTTTTCACCTGTTGGCTGACTGGAGTCCTGTTTGGGTTTCTTCTCTGCTTTCAGGAAGGCCCAGTTAGGATATCCACATTGTTCTAGAGCCTGTCTTGTGTGGGATTTCTCCTTCTGCCTGGCTCCTGAGCTAGTGGGGATGCTGTCTGCTCTGTGGTACAGAGTCCTGATGACTCCTAACTTGTGCTCCAAAGGGTGATGGGAGTCAAACTGCAAATACTGGTCTGTGTGGGTGGGTTTGCGGTACACCTCAGTTTGCAAATGTCCTCTATCAGAGACTGAGACCTCACAGTCCAAGAAAGCCAGAGGACCAGATTTAACTTTTTTAGATAAACTATTAGTTATTATTATTAAACTGCAAACGTGAAGAAACACGCAGCACATCAAAAATGAAACTTATCAGTGGGGGGGTCGACCACCCCGCACCACCACCCGCTGTGGTGTGATTAAGTTTAGCTTTAGAGATTAATATATTTATAGATTTTTTTTAAATAGGTTTAGAGATTAATATTTTTTGCTTTTTGTTTGTGAAACAAGGTCAGAGGAAGCTGTTTCTGGTTCGGTGGATTGGACCCGGTGTTACACCATACTCTGTGACCTGCAACAGTGCAACACCGCCCCCTACGTTCATACGGTGGTCACATAATATGACGTCACTACGGCTACTCGATGTTACATTTTTAACCTCGATAGAGGTCCTAGCAATCGATGTGTAGATTACTCGAGTACTCTGTTAATGCCCTATCCATAACTGTCATAAGGTACCGGGATGAGATCCTCAGACCCATTGTGAGACCATATGCTGGTGCAGTAGGCCCTGGGTTCCTTCTTATGCATGACAATGCTAGGCCTCATGTGGCTGAAGTGTGTCAGTAGTTCCTGCATGATGAGGGCATTAAAGTCAGGACACCTCTGGCTAGCACATGGAGGGCTGTGCAGCCATCCAAAGAAATGCCTCCCCACACCATGAATAACCCACCACCAAAGCGGTCATGCTGGAGGATGTTGCAGGCAGCATAACTTTCTCCACGGTGTCTCCAGACTGTTACGTCTGTCAAATGTGCTCAGTGTGAACCTGCTTTCATTAATGAAAGAGCACAGGGAGCCAATATTGGTGTGCCTTAGCAAACGCCAATTGTCCAGCACTGTGTTTGGCTGTAAGCACAGGCCCTATATGTGGACGTTGGGCCCTCATACCACCCTCATGGAGTCTGTTTCTGACAGTTTGAGTGGAAACATGCACATTAGTGGCCTGCTGGAGGTCATTTTGTAGAGCCCTGGCAGTAGACCTCCTGTTCCTCCTTGCACAAAGGACAAGGTAGCGGGCCTGCTGCTGGGTTGTAGCCCTCCTATGGCCCCCTCCATGTCTCCTGGTGTACTGGCCTGTCTCCTGGTACCTATCCCATGCTCTGGACACTGTGCTGAGAGACACAGCAAATCTTCTTGCCACCGCTTGCATTGATGTTCCATCTTGGATTAGCTGCACTACTTGAGCAACTTCAGTGGGCTGTAAAAAAATGCCTTATGATGCCAATACATGACAGCACTGACAAAATGACTAAAAGTTCAACCAGAAAGGACGCGAACAGAGAAATGACCTATGGTCACCACTTGCAGAATCACTCTTTTATAGGGGTTGTCTTGCTGATTGCCTCTCATTCCACCTGTTGTGTTTTCCATTTGCACAGCAGCAGGTGAAACTGATTCACAATAAGTGTTACTACATAACTGGTGACATTGATTCCACAAAGGTGTGACTGATTTGGAGTTGCACTGTTTTGTTTAGGTGTTCCCTTTATTTTTTTGAGCAGTGTATTTACATGCTGAAAAAGTGTGGGAACCCCTGAAAATTGGTTTGTACCACTACCAGACAAAACATCTTAATAAAGGAACCACCTAAGAAAGGTTTTCTGTCATTAAAAAATGAATATTATATACTGTACCTATATGTAGAGATGAGAACTGCTCCACAGAGTCTAGCAAGGAGCCAAAAGCTGCTGCCAAACACAAGTAGCCCATAGAGAGGTCCCAGGACTGGGTGGAGCTTGCAGAGCTTTTGGAGCACCCTCTGGTTGCAAAATATTGATATCACTGAGACTCTGCTTTGCTTCATTGTCAGGAAACCTTCCACTGACTGGGAAAAAAGCTGAACCAAGAACAAAGCCACGTCAAACACCGGAATATGTCTTTTAGCGGAGAATTTCATCTTGTACCATGTTTCCAAGGTGAGTGCAGATCAGGAGGAGGAGCAGCATCAGGACAGCGATGGCCCCCAGTTCCCTCCGGGCTCTCTGCAAAACTCTGCCTATCATCACCCACCTCCGCACAAACCTTAAGGGTCCCAGAAGCTGGAGTACATAAGAGCAGAGATTAGCAGGCATTCAATTAAGTGTGTAATCTGTGAATCTGTGTCGTTGCATAACGATGAATTAGAGCTCATAGTTACTTTTAGAACAAGCAGAAAGAGCAAGATGGCAGCACACTCAGAGGACCTTTCTGCCAGAAGGGCAGCTTCATGGAAGTTGATGACGTTTTCCTGCTTGGACTGTATCTGAAAGGTACATGACATGAAATGACGCTACAGAAGTAAAAGATATTGGACCCCATAGATGTTTTTATGTTACCTCATAAACGCACACAGCAGCAAGAGACAGGAAGCGGAGCTGCAGGACAGCCGTTGCACAAAACAAAAAGCCCAAGAGCAGCTGGAACCAGTGGTTGCACTGACAGATATACTGAGCATGCTCAGTAAAGACAGCCCACAACTCCCCGATCATGATCAAGAGAGCAGAGATGAAGAGAAAAATCTGTAGAACAATTCAAAAATTGAGCTGCTGTATAGTTGAATCTGTAATGACAGAAGAATGTTCTTTATGTGTTACCGTAAGAGCCACATGGAGATCCAGTCCTGAGAAGGATGAGGGGATGAGGAGTGGACGGATGGAAAGGAAGGAGGAGACGCCTTGTGTCTGAGTCGGCTCTAGTCGTATGGACACACACATGAACAAACCAGATGCTCTGTGTTGCTGTGTAAAGTCTATAGAAAGAGATTTATACCTGGAATTAAACAGGAAAACACACAGATTTGGTCAAATATTGAAAATAAAGTTAAGAGCAATATCATACAATGTCACAAGGTGCCTGTTTAAATTGCATTGTAAATAACTCTCAGCTACTACCACACTGAGTTTTATATCAATAGCTGACCGAGTTTCGGCCCTTGTTGGGTTTTTAATGTCAGTTGGCTGTAGCAGACATTTTGAATCAGGTTGACCATAAAAACTGATCAAACACAGATGTACAGTAATTGATTACTTTCTGCAATTTCATTCAAATTAATCCTGTGGCTCATGAAATATTTTGCTAACAGACACAGGTACACAAAACATTATTGCTCTACTTTTGCATTTAGGTGTCGGGTAATTAAAAACATTATAACTTTTATCTTGCATAGTTTAATTTGAGCTAATCTACGAGGAAAAATAACATAACCAGAAATAAAAAGCTGATGTCCCCCGTCGCTGAAGGATTTGAAAAGTGAACGTTTGTAGTTTTTGAGATGAGATTATTCACATTTATGTTTTTGGTGTAAGATGTTCAAATGAGTAGGAGTTACTCTGTGTGTAAGGAGAGAGGCAGGTGTTTTCTTTTACTTGTCTGAGGCGGCGCAGAATGATGGATCCTGGCGGGGGAGGAAACTGTTTTGTCCACCAGGTGCAGTGGTGGAGCCAGGGGGTGGCCAGTGGTGGCCTTAAACTTCAACCAACCCACCAGTCAACCCAATCATTTGAAGAAATTATACTTTTAACTAAACTAGAAGGCATAGTTCCTCATATGTAGGGGTGGTCATATATATGGCGATGGCCATCTTGAATTTTGACTTGACAACCCAATTTTCAAAAGTGATCTTTGTTACGCCTGTGAGTATCTCACTTTTTTAAATTATCTGGCTCACAAGATGAACCAAAAGAGGGTTTTCAAAGTTCCCCCTTCGCTCTGCGAGAAGGGACAAAACATCAACCTGGTTTGATTTTTCTCAGATTATAACATAGCAAATGGTCTTTTTTTTCCCCCCATTTGAAAAAGTAAATCAACAATTTGTAAATGAAGAACGTCGATAAATTTTTGCTCGGCACGTCGAAAAGCTGGAGCCTCGTTCCAACAACAACAATCCAACTTACCCTGTCCAGTCTGTGTCTGAGATGAGCACGTCAGCCAGCAGCTGGTGGCTTGTTGAGCTGCTGTTCCCTAACAGGTGAGTCTTCGGGGCACCAGGTGTTCGTGTGAACTGCACCTGAGGCAGCCCTACCAGCTGCAGCGTGGGGGTTTGGTGGAGGTACTTCACCAGAGTCAGATTGATCCACTGCTCTGCTTCTGACCAGCTGTGGAACAAAAATATAGACATGGATATATGATTGAAAAGCATTAGGAAAGCATCAATAAAACCCCAGCTGCATTAAATAATGAACATCAGTAACATAAATATGAGTGTATTTTTAACTGCAGCCAAAGTAAACTCTGTCCTGCTCATGTAAATCATGAAAACAACCATCTGTGGCTGAAATTATTCCTAGAAAATTACATTAACTTTTTTTTAATTGATCATCGATAAAAGCAAATTATAAATGATAATGGTGGGCAATAATGTTTTTTTTCCTGTGGATGCATAACTATGTATGTTAGCAAAATATCCCAGGAAACAAAAATCATATTTTATTCAAACGCTCAACGTAATGGAGAGAAATGTTCTCTCTTAACCTACTTAAATAAAAGAACCACACTTGATGGCAGAAGTCTTTTAACCAGTAAGGGACAAATTTTCAGGACAGGTTACACAGAAATACAGTGTAGATAACTGTCCATTCTGTTTGATGTTGTTGTAATTACTTGGAGTGCCCAACAGGTGGCACTGTGGTATAATATGTTTCTGTACTGAATGCAGTTGAACCTGCATGTGTTCATGTTATTATGCTAATAAATAGCATGGTAAACAATTACAATGGACTGGTCATTATAAACAAACCTACAAACAGGAAGTACACACAAAGGTCATGAAAATCTATGACGAGCTGTCTGTGAAGCTTGTTTTTATACTCTTATCATTTCAGCCGAGCTCACAAACTCAGAGGTGTCCTTGGAGCAACAGCTGCACACTGCAGCCTCAGACAGCTCCTCATCCAGTTCTCTCTGCTAACCCAAACATATGGTTCATGGGCAGACTTAACATTCTCGGTCATAGTAGTTAAACATAACCATAAACTTTGACCAAAGATTCCCTAAAAGTAACCACTGGATATACGGTATTGCTACAAATGAGTAACATTAGGAGTCAAAGCCTTTCAAAATGGTCTCCACAGCAAACTGAATTGATCAAACACAAAAAAAAGTTTATAACTCAATCAGTTTTATAAAATACTGTACTAAGCTAAGATTTGATATGGTAGTAGCTAATAGTCATGCCCATCACATGATTCAAGAACTAACTAAACAAAATGTTTCCCTGAAGCTTTGCTTTTTACTATTGGATTCCATTCTGCCAATCTGTTAGCAAAATGTCTCATAAACCACTGAACACTTTTGAATTAAACTCTTCATGTATGAACATCTACAATGATCATATCTACAATTCAATATAATAATAATCATCACCATTATATTTAAAAAGCGCCTTCCAGGACACCCAAGTACACTTTACAGTAAGAAACATACCAGAAAGAATTCAGGACAGCTAATCAATTTTGATGAACGAATTTGGATATAAACATTTCAGATTTGCAAATATTGAGCTAAAATTTTATGTGAATGATTTCAACACACCCACCAAACTTAACAGATTGTTAGAGATCTTTGTGTTTAGAGAGAAGGTGCACGTAACATTATTTTCAAGGATTTGTTCAAAAATAAATGTATCATCATTGTACATCTCGGCATACGTTAGAGTTAGTTTAAAGTTAAAGTGGAATGTTCTTACTCGCTGAGTGAGGTGAGGTTAGGGGAACCCACAGGTGTTGTGTGAAGATGCTGCCTGATGGTGGAGTCCAGCAGCCTAGCCTGGGTTTGCTCTAACCTGTCCTGGTAGTTCACTATCAGGACCAGCAGAAGAAAGACCAGCTGGCATGCACAATTCTGCAGAAAAATCAATATTTTTTTAGTTAGAGAAAAGACATTTTGTGTGAAAATGCAGCTTGAATATGTGGGTAAAGATGATGGATGGATGGATGGTTGGATGATGGCAGCTGATGGAAGGATGGATGGATGGATGGATGGATGGATGGATGGATGGATGGATGGATGGATGGATGGATGGATGGATGGATGGATGGATGGATGGAAAATCTGCTGAAGAAGCTTAAACTGTGTTGTTAAAGCTAAAATGAGCAACATATAGTTTAAACCTAAAAGTATTGAAACACTAGCATAAAATTAGAGGTATCAAATCACGAGCTAAAAACCAAAAGAAGGAAAAAGCAAACTAAAAGCCTAAAGTAGCAAATTCACAGCTAAAAGATAAAGTTGCAAAATAGCAGCTATACGATAAAAAATAGCAAAAGGCTAGCTAAAAACATCAAGCATCTACCTATAAACGTCAATTAGAATGGGTTAGCTGAAAACTAAAGTAGCAGAAGAAAACAAAAATAGAGCAAGATGAAGCCAATTTCAAAGGGAACAATGTTTTTTGATGGGTTTAGGTATTAGGAATTTTATTTTCATAGGGAAACTATTTGATATTAAAATAAAAATATTTTAAAAGTATAAAAGTTGCAAAGTTGTAGCACCCATCTCCTGAATGAGCTGAGGGTTTGAATAAAAATGGTTATACTAGCACAAAATATGCAGAATTAGATTTTAAAAACGAACAAAAAACAAACGATAAAATGATGTGAATGTTCAGTCAGTATCTACACAAAAACATATTTAAGCTGACATATTTTTATGTTTTTTTGTTTTATTGTTCTTGCCTTCATTAGTGACCTCAGAGCTTGTATTTTTCGGGCCTCTTCCTTCGCCTGCAGCAGCCCATAGCCACATGGTGGTCGAATGTTCCTACTAGATGCTCCTGATGTCCTGACCACGGTGGTCTCCTGAGCCAGCAGCTCCTCTAGCTCTGGATCTACAGGCCTCCAGAGCACGGTACAGATCAAGGCCTGCACGCATACCTGCTCAAGAGAGATGGAGGTGCAAATGTTCCTTCACAGATCTACGAGCCAGCTGAGCCACATGTTTCAACTTGCCTTGAGAGGTTCCAGCAGAAGAACAGAAGTAAAAAATGCAGTGAGAACAGACACCAGCCACATGAGTAACACTGCTTTGGAGAAGAGACTCCCATAGAGTCCCACCACTGCCAGGCAGGCACCGATAAGTAATGCAATGAGGGGGTGAACAACACGCAGAACCCATGGAGGGAGGAACCAGGTGGGTTGACCTCGAGCTACACCTACAGAGGGAAAACAAGGCAACATAGGATTCTATCCATCATCTTTACCTGTTTCTTCCTTTTCAGGTCGCGGGGGATCACTGGTGCCCATATCCAGCAGTCACGGTGTGAGAGATGTGGGACACAAGTCTCCAGTCCATCACAGGGACACACAGAGACAAACAAGACAAACAACCATTCACTTTTCCACTCCATTTATTGGAGAAAACTCACGCAGCAAAGAGAAACTCCACACAAAAAGACCCCCGGCCGGGATTGGATCCAACAACCTTCTCGCTAAGAGGGAACAGCTGTACCAACTGTGACACCGTGCCTCCCCCGAAACTAACCAATTTAATTAAACTCTGTCAATTCACCTCAGAGGAGTGGTCCAAATATCTAATCAGAAATATGTCCAAAGCTTTTTGAAGAATATAAAAACCTTGTGGTCAAGGTGTAGCTTGGTATGGAACGTTTACCCAAATATTAGTGGGTATGTGTGCATTTATTTGAGCTGGTATGTGTAATTTTGACCTTGTGAGGATGTAAGAAAATTTAGCATAATTTAAACTTGTGCACCCATATCTTGTTTATAAAAACCATTAAATCTATTTGTGAGGACGACCTGCCAGCGCAGTGGTTAGAGCTGTCGCCTCTCAGAGAGAAGGTTACAGGATTGCCTTCTGGCCTGGGGCTTTTCTGGGTGGAGTTTACATGTTCTCCCCATTCTTGTGCAGGTTTTCTCCAGTTACTTACATAAGGCAGGCCTCCCAGAGGCAGGGCACGTCCTGGTGTTACTGGTACTAACACAAAGAGACAAGCATCCATGCCCACACACCTAATATATACATCCAATTCAGAATCCTCAATAAACCTGATTAGCATGTCTACTGGAAAAAGTATTTTTTTGCAAGGAGTAAAGATTCAACTTTAGCTGACATAAAATCAGATCAGTTACCTATGCGTGTAGTAGAGGAGGAGCAGATGGATTCAAGTAAGTGATCTGGTAGGGAGGTGCTTTCCATCGACACCACTGAGGAGCATTTATAAAACACTTCCCCAAACAGTGATGGGTTATCCTGAGTGTCTGGTTGGTTGACTTCTGCTTCATCTAGGATTTCAGAAGAACACTGGTCTTCTAACCAGCTGCTCCAAGAGGTGCTTGGTCTACAAAAGACAATGTAGAATCTTCACTGGAACAATAATATGTGTTCAAAGACAAATACGTGATGCCTAGAGCTGCTTCTTACAAGACTGTGGAACATGGCGTGGTCTTTGGAGAGTCCCGGCCACTGTCTGAGTTGTTGTTGATTGCATTTGAAGGGTCCTCTACTGCTGCTATGGACATAAGAAGATCCTCTTCTGGAACCAAGATCACAATCATACAGTTTATTGTAATTTTTAAGAACTATTTCCTGAGTGTGTGTGTTAGGAGCATTTTGACCTTAGCTTTACAAAAATTATGCAACAATTTTGCCAAAACCACTCAAAAATTGAATTGTGTGTAAAGAGAACCATACATACAAACTTACTCACCAGACAGAGTCAGAAGTGTTGATCGGTGAACCTTAGCTGGATTGGGACTAAGCTGTTGTGAATTTTGACTTGGCTGAACAGAAGAGTTATTGAAATGGAAACTATCTTCAGTCGGTGAATGTGAGCACATAGAAGAAAGATGAGCAGAGGAAGAGAAGGGAGATGTGGGTGAAGCTAAGTGAAGTTGCGTCACAGCCTTCTTCCTCTTCAGCTGGTGAGTATGCCCTTGAGCAGATGAGGCTTTGCAGAGATTGAGTGCTAGGGTCATCTTTGAGGTGCCTGAGTCTTCAGGCAAACTGAGGAGGCTATCTTGTGATGACCATGCTGTCACACCCTCCTGACCTCGTCCCTCTGTTTGTGGGACCAAGCCAGAAGCAGTCCAGAAGTCCAAGATGCTAGAGTCCAGTGCCTTACTTTCCAGAATCTACAGTCAGACAGAAGAACATCTGAACTGTAATTCCAAGACATAAGACAGGGATAAAAGAATAAAAACATGTTTGGTGTTTTTGTATGTGTTCTCACAGATATGCTTTCATGGAAAATACCAGAAGAATCTGGAAAAGACCAGATGGAGGAGCCAGAATTTCCCATTTCCACAGACTGACAAATTGGAGAGGGAGTAGCTGACACGTCTAAAGCAACCTGGACAGTAACCACACATCAACATCTGATAGTTTAGGTGCTAACAGTAAGCAAAAGAAAACTTGGTACATCTCCATCTTTGATAAAGTTCTTTGAAACGTTACAAAATTACCTGACTATGAGCTTTTCTGAACAAGAAACAGAGGAAACACTGGAACGGGAACACCATCAAGGCAATGACAATCCCCATGGCAATCGTCTCTTCATTTACCAACAGATGGGCTGACACAGGCCCACTAGTATAAGAAGGATAAAAAAAAAATCACTTTCATACTCTACTTTTAAGACTGTGTTGCTGTATTTGCATATTGCCAAGGACATCCTTGTAAAATAGATTAATAATCTCAATGGATTTCTTCCTGGTAAAATAATGGTTTAATAAACTCTTAAGTCCTCCTGGATTTAAATCTAATTTTAAATTTAAACAGTTCTACTAGTTTACTGAGACAGATCATCTAACCTGTGTTTTTCCATTAAGACAGCCCGAAACCACAAAGTACTCAGTGCCAGGTAAAGGTGAAGCACTAGGGCACTACAGGCAACCCTCTGACCCCTGGTGAAACAACTATGAGCAGGTCGTTCCCACAGTGACACCCATAAGTTTCCCTCTGCCATTCCAAATATCAGCTGAGAGGTGAGGACTCGACAAAACCGAGTGAGCTCCTCTGGACCTGGGAAAGAAAAATCAAAAGGCTAAAAGGTGTCATTAATGCAGAGCCATTGGTGGAAATGTGTCCATTTTTAAAGAGGTGCATACATGAGGTCAGGACTTCCCTCTCTACTGTGCTGTTCCTCTGATTCTCCACAGAGAGCCAGTCTTCCAACACAAAGAAGAACATGTGATCAGTCTGAGGGTCCCAGACCACCACATGCTGAATATACCACGATGGCTCCAAACCTGGTTACATAAAGGGCATTCAGACGGCTGTGTTAAAGGAGATTATGAGGTAAACTCGCACCTACAAAGACTCATGACAATCATCTAAGAATGTTTAGCAAGAGAAAGATATTAACTACAGTCAGAAACATTGTCCACGATGCTACAATGTTTGAAACTGTGCAGAATGAGGTTTTTGCCACACAGAGTATAATGTATAGTTTGAACCAAAAGCAAGGTGCAATATGGACTCATAGGACCACAGAATACTGTATGTATTTATATCCTGATGCATGCTCAATAATTGTAGCTGTATGTATTTATCTTTCTGTTTACCCGAGGGAAGCTTAAATTAACGGTTACAACCAATAGTTATTTCAAGCCTTTCCCCAAAGCCCCCGAATCTTTATTTTTTTATACTATATTCTGTAATGTAGAAAAAACAAAGGCAGAGGGCAATGCCTTTGCTTGTTTTCTGTACAAGTGTTTATGTGCATGTCTGTTAGCACAATACCTCATGAACCATTGGATGAATTTCAGTGACACCTGCTTGGTGTACACATTAGATCTACAGATAGGAATGATAGACTTTGGGGTCACCCCGGTTCAATTTAGCTGCCACAGCTAACTGCCATTAGCAAACTGAAAAAATGACTAAAACTTTGCCATATTTGACAGTATTGAGCTAAAGTTAGTGAGTTAGTAGCTGAGATTAATCCCAAACACACATTTCAACCACTAACACTTAACGGAATGCTAGGCTATTAGTTTGGTGAGGAATTTAAATAAATAGTAGACTAAGACTCTCTGACCAAGTTTATCACAGAGGAACCATGAGCAAACTTTGTTCAGAAGGACAAGAAAGACCACCAAACCTTTTATGAATGTTTCTTTTATACACATTTTTTACACCCCTACTTGTTACTAATAAAGAAAAGTTTTTTTGGTTTTTTTTTTGGTCTTGTTTGTCTTGCATGTCAGAAAACCTGCCTCGTTTTCTCGGGTTTCCTTTTTTTTTTTACCCGTATACCTGTATTGTCGTGCCAGATGCGAATTTTCCAAATCTCCCCCAGCTTGTCATCTGTCTCCACCTGAAACTGGTCCAAGCTGCCGCGCTGAAAAGCTCCATGTCTTTGCAGATGGTGAGGACCGCTCTTGCTCACACCATACATACTGATGCCAACATGTGCCGTGGTGCCTGACGGAGCATGCCACAATAATTATTATATAACTTGTTACATTTAATTAGAAAATTTAAATGACATGCCATGAACATATAGTTCATTATACCATTTTGGGGGCATGTTAAACCTCTGTGAATAGTTGCTATTGGCTAACCTGCTCCAGGCCGCATGCCAGTCTTCACCAGCACTCTGTAATGGTACAGTCCTGGTCGACCACACAGAGGGACTTGGCTCAGCCTCACACTGTCCAAGTAGTCCAGTTTGTGTGCAATAAGCCCCAAAAGCAGGTGGAGCACAACCAGGACAGCACACACAATCCCCACTATCATGTTCTGCATGGGTTCATCTGCCTGCATACAAACAGAAGACAAGTATGACTACGTCCTAACCCAACTTTAGCAATGTAAAGTAGCAAGAAAGCAGCTCCTGATAACTGTCTGGGTTCGGACATACCGCTGGCAGCAGAACAACAGCCCCAGGATGAAGAAACAAACTGGCCCCAAACATGGTGAGGTGCTTGGTGAGACAAAGTGTTGTGTGTAATGTACTGCCATCCAGGGATCGAAGACCTTTGCTGCTCCAACTCCTGCCTTTTACATCATAGTACTGACACAAAGAGCTGAAAACGCACACTGCCAGTTGGACAGGCCCGCTGTCGTTCAGAGATGAGGCCAGGCTGACAGACAGAGGATGCTCTGTTCCGTTCAAACTGTTGAATATTCAAAAATACATGTATTTACTGGAAACAAGCCGAGCATCAGGTTATAGTAAGATGTTCTGTGACTCACAGCGGGGACAAAAAGACAGCTTTCTCTGAGGAGGAGGTCTCAGCAGAGAGCGTGAGGATCCACTCTCTCACAAGGCAGTCCTGGGATGCATTAGATGCCACTTTTATCTTGACATGCCCCAAACTCACCGGAGCGGCTCCTGGAGATGCAGAACGCAGACTGAAAACTGCTTTTTGAATTTATAATAAGGCCTAGGATTAAACATGTTCTTACGTATGTGCTGCATGACTCACTAAATCAAATCATCCATCCATCCATTATCTTTACCCGTTTATTCCATTTTGGGTCACGGGGGTCGCTGGTGCCCATGTCCAGCAATCACTGTGCGAGGGGCGTGGTACACCCTGGACGGGTCACAAGTCCATCACAGGACCACATAGAGACAAACGAGACAAACAACCATTCACTCTCTCACTCACACCTAGGGACAATTTAGAGTTACCAATCAGCCTAACATGCATGTTTTTGGACTGTGGGAGGAAACTGGAGCACCCGGAGAAAACCCATGCATGCACGGAGAGAACATGCAAACTCCACCCAGAAAGGCCCCCGGACCGGGGTTTGAACCAGGGACCTGCTCGCTGAGAGGCAGCAGCTCTACCAGTTGCGCCACCGTGCTGCCCTAAATCAATTCAAATTTTCCAAATTTTACATTTCTTGTATTCACCTTAGGTATCTTTGTCCTATTTCTTACTAAAATTAAAAAAGTAACTAAGCAACACGAGGAAAGGTGAAGCAGTATGCAGAGCATAGAGTGACAAAGTCCGTTTATCCATTTAATTTGATTACTAGAAAACTTCATCGATACTCTTTTAAAGTGGCGTACTGTAGAAAGGTTATAAACGATCATCTTCTTATCAGTTGTTAATTTATGTTTGAATGAGCTCAGTTTAAAGAAACAATTCTGACCAGAAATGGCCGAGACCAAAGTTGATTGCTGCTGTCTTAAAGCAAGTCTAATCTAAAAAATGTTGTATCCGTTCATGCAAAAGCTGTTTTATAAAGTTTTACAGTCAGTTTTGCACTACGTCGTTATTTACATGTAGTTTTGTGGTCATCTGTGAGGGCGAACAATCACAGTCATCTGTAGCTATCCCACTGCAACCTGCACATCTCCAACAGGAACATTTTATTCTTTCTGCCAAAGTAAACATCTAATGTGAAGGTGTCATTGATGTAAAGGTTTAAAAAAACATTGACACATGAACTACCATGTTATTTTTAATATAAGACGAGAAGCAATGCACTTTGGTCTTAGCTAGCTGTTAGCTCATCAGTTCGAGCAGATTAAAATTATATTGTTCATACTTAGATCAGTCAAAGACTAAAGATCTTTAAGTCTATCATGCAGTTGTGTAAAAACATTTTTCTACATATCTGTTGAGACAAAGCTCACAGTACCTGGAGCCAGACTGAAGCTGAAGGAGATGTATAAACCTGCATCTTCACGCAGGTCATCTGGAGCCCTAACAGTGAAATTCAGCTGTCCTTCGTTAGGGAGCATCACTGTGAGACATGTTCCATTCATGTCTTCACCCACTCCCCCATTAACACCTTCATCACTCCGAGTCATGGGGGACCTGTTGAGCAGGCTGACCCGGATGGCTTGCTCTGGGTCCAAGTCCTGGATGGATATGGGTTGACCTTGAGGAGTGGTGAGCTCCATGGCAACCACAGAGGTGGAGATGGAAGGGTCAGCTGCACTCAACAAAGGATTGGACTTCAGTGCTCCATCCATACCAAACAACACCTGCACCACCTCAGAACTCTGACTCCTCAGGTGAGCACTGAATGAGGCGGGGATCAGAAACGGACACAGATAGGAGCTCTTAGATCCTTCAGCTGATGAAAACTGTGAAGTTGGGTTTCCATTGGACTGATTAGATAGGTGAGAGCAAAGGAGGTCCAAAGGGTCTCCAAGGAAACCAAGAGTCTTGATGTAACTGTTGGAAAACGAAAGAGCTGTGCCGTCCAGAACCCGTGAACGCATAAGAGCCCGCATTAAGGCTCCAGCATGGCTCAGCGCTGATGTGACCACAGAAACCGCCTGTGGATGTCCTGCGCTTGCGAGGTAAGAGCTGGAAGCACATGATTCAGATACAGCAGCTATGGTACTGCCTGTAGAAACAGAGAACATGGATCATTTTGAGAATTGGGGCTTATTTCATGTTTAAGATGGTGGGTGGCCAGCAGCACCTATAATGCTGAGGATGTTCCTTCCTAAATCTAAAGCTGGCAAATCTGTGGGCCTGGTCTTCTGGTCTATCACATGGATCATCTGTCCCATAGTTTCCAGAACTCGTTCATGGCAGCTCTCAGACAGCTCGCTGGGAACTGCCTGAAATAAAAAAGAAATTGTATATTTTTAACAGAATAAAGTGAATTAAAGAAACTTAGGGGAGATCTTTAATGTGTTTTAGTCGTAGTTTTATAAATGTATATTCAACCATTAGCACATCCCATTGTCCAAAAAAGTTCAATCTGGTCCTCTGGACATTAAAAAAAAATCAAACAAAGCAAAAAAAATGTAGAAAAGTTTCGTCTCATCCGAGAGACTTCCTCAGTCTGAGGTGCTGTTTTCAGCTCAGTCTCTTAAATAGCACCTTCTCAGAGTGGATCAACCAGTTTGCTGCTGACAACCAAAACCAGCTGCTCACATTGTCAAGAAGGACCATCAGCCTAACAATGGATCATTAGCACACTGATGGCTGTTTACTATTCACAGAGGGCTGAGTGATACTAGCAATCACAGCATTGTAAGAGGGGGACCGTTGAACCCGTAGGCCTCCACCCCTGTTTAATGATGGACGATTTCTTTTCACAAAGATGGCCTCCTTTACTCTGCTCTCAAACCATCGTTCCTCTCTGTCCAGGATGTGAAGATCTTCATCCTTGAAAGAGTGACCACTGGCCTGGAGATGAGTGTAGACCGCAGAATCCTGGCCTGATGATGTTGATCTTCTGTGCTGGGCCATCCTTTTGGCTAGTAGCTGTTTAGTTTCCCTGATGTAAGAATGATCACCCTCCTGACACTGAACAACATACACAACATTACTCTGTTTGTGCCGGGGAACTGGATCTTTGGGATGAACCAGTCTTTGCCGTAATGTATTTTGGGGTTTAAAAGCCACTGGGACGTTATGTTTAGAAAATAAACGTCTCAGTTTCTCTGATACTCCCTCAACATATGGAATGACCACTGGTCTGGGTCTGGGTTCCTCCTTTTCACCTGTTGGCTGACTGGAGTCCTGTTTGGGTTTCTTCTCTGCTTTCAGGAAGGCCCAGTTAGGATATCCACATTGCTCTAGAGCCTGTCTTGTGTAGGATTTCTCCTTCTGCCTGGCTCCTGAGCTAGTGGGGACGCTGTCTGCTCTGTGGTACAGAGTCCTGATGACTCCTAACTTGTGCTCCAAAGGGTAATGGGAGTCAAACTGCAAATACTGGTCTGTGTGGGTGGGTTTGCGCTACACCTCAGTTTGCAACTGTCCTCTATCAGAGACTGAGACCTCACAGTCCAAGAAAGCCAACTTGCCATTTTTTACATCTTCTCGTGTAAACTTGATGTATTTATCCAGAGTTGATGTGGTCAGTAAAATGTTGGACTTCCTGAGATTTAATTTTAACCCTGTTGTCGTCAACATACCTGAACCACATATGGGGAGCAATATTATAGGCAGAAACATGGGTGTGCTATGGGGTCTCCAGTTTCTCCTATTGTTGCCAATCTGTACATGGAGGAGGTAGAAAAGAGAGCCTTGACGTCCTTTTCAGGGACACCACCAAGTCATTGGTTCAGGTATGTTGACGACACCTGGGTTAAAGTGTTAACATCATCAGGCCAGTATTCTGTGGTCTACACTCATCTCCAGGCCAGCGGTCACTCTTTCAGGGATGAAGATGTGCACATCCTGGACAGAGAGGAACGATGGTTTGAGAGCAGAGTAAAGGAGGCCATCTTTGTGAAAAGAAATTGTCCATCATTAAACAGGGGTGGAGGCCTACATGTTCAATTGTCCCCCTCTTACAATGCTGTGATTGCTAGTATCGCTCAACCCCCTGTGAATAGTAAACAGCCATCAGTGTGCTAATGATCCATTGTTAGGCTGATGGTCCTTCTTGAGCATGTGAGCAGCTGGTTTTGGTTGTCAGCAGCAAACTGGTTGATCCACTCTGAGAAGGTGCTATTTAAGAGACTGAGCTGAATACAGCACCTCAGACTGAGGAAGTCTTTCGGAAGAGAGACGAAACGTTTCTATTTTTTTTTTTTTGCTTTGTTTTGTTTGTTTTTTTTGAATGTCTAGAGGACCAGATTGAACTTTTTTGGATTTTTCTACCTGGATTATTGAGCATGCATCAGGACACATCCCATTGTGTTTTTATGTTTCTTAGTTGGTATAATAATGCTAGTTATGTGCCATTCACAAAGACAAGAACACGGATTACAAACGCTGCACTTTGATTTCTCACAGTAGATTGTGCAAGTGCTGAGCTGAGCTGGTCAACATCCTGTAGGGAGGACACAGGGACAGAGACAAGAGCCTGGGTCACATTGTCCCTGATCTCTCTCCTGTTGGTGAGCTCCTCTTCAGACCCTCCAAACTTCATCTGTTGATCAGGAGAAAACTTTCATGAGCTTAAATGTTATTTGAGCCCTGAATGATGAAATTAAACCTCAGGTCCTACTCGATTGAGCTTGCTGATGAGAGCAATGGAATAAGGAATGATCTCCTGAGGGTTGGCGTGTTGGACCAGGGTCCACAGTTCTGTCTGGCTCTTGTTTCGGACCCACTGATCGTCAGCTTTGCCATCCAGTGAATCCTCAACTATCAGTGTTCTGAAGAAAAGATGCATCAGGACAAAGTGAGTGTTCACAAAACTTGACAAAGACCTGGTGCCTGAATCAAACAACCTCCCTAACAAATATAAAAATCTGATTAATTTTCTGTTACTCTATAGTTTTCAGAAGACTAAAAAACAAGTAACAATAATGACCCTTCACATAATTACTGTGGTCTTTGTTTAACTTTAAAGATATAAAACTAGCTCTGAAAACTTTGATTTTTGTAATATAATTTCCCTTAACATGTAACCATGTACAAACCGAATTCCAAAAAAAGTTGGGACACTAAACAAATTGTGAACAAAAACTGAATGCAATGATGTGGAGGTGCCAACATCTAATATTTTATTCAGAATAGAACACAAATCACAGATCAAAAGTTTAAACTGAGAGAATGTATCATTTTAAGGGAAAAATCTGTTGTTTCCAAATTTCATGGCATCAACAAATCCCAAAAAAGTTGGGACAAGTCCATTTTTACCACTGTGTGGCATCCCCCCCTTCTTCTTATAACACTCAACAGACGTCTGGGGACAGAGGAGACCAGTTTCTCAAGTTTAGAAATAGAACACTCTCCTATTCTTGTCTAATACAGGCCTCTAACTGTTCAATCGTCTTGGGCCTTCTTTGTCGCACCTTCCTCTTTATGATGCGCCAAATGTTCTCTATAGGTGAAAGATCTGGACTGCAGGCTGGCCATTTCAGTACCCGGATCCTTCTCCTACGTAGCCATGATGTTGTGATTGCTGCAGAATGTGGTCTGGCATTATCGTGTTGAAAAATGCAGGGTCTTCCCTGAAAGAGATGACGTCTAGATGGGAGCATATGTTGTTCTAGAACATGTGATGCAGTGTGAATGTAAACAGACTGGGCCCCGCTCCACAGGATAAGCAAACACGCATTTCTCTGACCTTATATGGAGCCGTCAGCTGCTTTGTGTGAAAAACAATATTCTCCATGGTCTTCTGTCTCATCTTCTGCTCATGCTGAGTCCATTTTTGAAAAATGACAAAATATAACTCCTAAAACTGCTAAAACTTGATGCCACTTCATTTTTTATTTTTATTTACAGAAGAAGAAGAAGACGTGTCTTCAGAGGTTTTTGTGTCGTTTCTTTCAGTAGTTCTTGGTGCAGTGCCCCCACAGGTGAGTGGGGGAACAGGTTCAACAGGTTGACTCGACTGCACAGTGCAGTGTGAATGCAAACTCACCAGCTCAAATGTAAACAAAAGGTCATGAATATTGGTCCCGAACCGAACCGAGTCTACCAGACTATCTGATGTGAAAACGACCTAAAAGTCTTTGCTATTTTACGCTGGGTAACACCATTCTGGTATTGCTGCACTATCTTTCTGCACAACAATGGTGGAATTGGTGATCCTCTTACCATCTTGGCTTCTGAGGTCGTTTTCACACCAGATAGTCCGGTAGACTCGGTTCGGTTCGGGACCAATATTCATAACCTTTCGTTTACATTTGAGCTGGTGCATTTGCATTCACACTGCACTGTGCAGTCGAGTCAACCTGTTGAACCAACCTGTTCCCCCGCTCGCCTGTGGGGGCGCTGCACCAAGAACTACTGAAAGAAACGACACAAAAACCTCTGAAGACACGTCTTCTTCTTCTTCTTCTGTAAATAAAAATAAAAACGAAGTGGCATCAAGTTTTAGCAGTTTGAGGAGTTATATTTTGTCATTTTTCAAAAATGGACTTAGCATGAGCAGAAAATGAGACAGAAGACCCTGGAGAATATTGTTTTTCACACAAGGCAGCTGACGGCTCCATATAAGGTCAGAGAAATGCGTGTTTGTTTACCCTTCGGAGCAGGGCTCGGTCTGTTTACATTCACACTGCACTCGAACCGCGCTGGAGTTTGCTTCTACCGGACCGAGACCTAGATTTTAGCCCAGGCCAGAGTTCGTCTTTTTAATCCGTGACAGAGTTCGATGGCGCGTTCACACCTCCCTAAACTCACCGGACTTTCTAGGAAAACGAGCTAGAGTCCGATTAAAGCGGACTAAACAGGGCTGGTGTGAATGCACCCTGAGAGACACTGACACTCTGAGAAGCTCTTTTTATACCCAATCATGTTCTCAATTGACCTAATTAATGTTAATTGGTCTTCCAGCTGTTCATTGTATGCTCAATTTCCTTTTTCCAGTCACTTATTGCTACTTGTCCCAAATTTTTTGGGATTTGTTGACATTGTGAAATTTTGAATCAACATGTTTTTCCTTTAAAATGTTACATTTACTCAGATTAAACTTTTGATCTGTCATCTATGTTATATTACGAATAAAATATTGACATTTGCCTTCTCCACATCATTGCATTCAGTTTTTATTCACAATTTGTTTAGTGTCCCAACTTTTTTGGAATCCGGTTTTTGTAGAATAGAGTAGAGTACAATACAGTAGAGTACAGTACAGTAGAGTACAATACAGTAGAGTACAGTAGCTTAAAGTAGAGTACAGTCGAGTGGATTTTTATATTTTGGTAGAATAGTAGTTGAGTTATTCCCAACACATGCTTCAAGCACAACAAATGCAATATCTTTATCAATAACTTTTAGAATCAAGGATGTTAGCAAAATATTTCTGAATGACTGGACATATATTTAAAACCTTAGAAAGTATTCATTAGACATACTTTCAAGGGAGTTCATTTTAAGATCGCTATCACATCTAACTGACTTTTTTCTCTTCTTCTTTCGGCTGTTCCCTTCTTCAGGGGTCACCACAGAGAACTAACTCACACTAAGACTTGGCAATTGTTTTTACACCAAATCCTCTTCCTGACGCAACCGCAGACCACCGAGCTACCACAGCCCTCTGTGTGGAGCAGAGAGCTGCCATCTAGGGCGTCTGGGGGAGCAGATGGTGGGGGTTAAGGGCCTTGCTCAAGGGCCCAGAGTGGAGCAAATGAGGATGGAGACAGGTGTGGATGTTTCACCTTTTCCACCTACATTTTGATGTTGTCGGTCCGGGGAGTTGACCTGGCGACCTTCCGATAAGGCCCACCTTCTCTAACCTCTGCGCCACCACTACCCCTAACCACAGCTAATTGACATTAGCCAACACAAAAATGACTATTCTCAGTTAGTATCACAGATGGTAAATTGCGGTAATGGGTATTGAGGAAAATTTAGATGTGGTAGTAGCTGAGAGTAATCCCCAATATATACTCTGAGTATGGCATATCACAATACTATGATGGCCCTGAGATGTAAATGAACAATATTTCAAACAAAAGAATTACATTTCAAAAATGCAACAAAAACGCAACATATGGAAAAACAGAATTACATTAAGCCAAACCAAAAGTTGTGTGTG